GATGTGACCGATATTGTTTGTTAATCTAGAAACTAAATGAGTGTGGTCGAGGATGTAAGAACAAGAATTAAAGGCTTGGCTGCAGTAACTGTCCACACCCTAAAAACCACCAGACAAAGCAAAACGTGCGATCCACAGATTTATCTGAAAATCTCCAGTTAGCAAACATTTAAAGTTTCCAATGTGACTTCCCCTTTTTCGATAAGCGATGTTATAGAACAACGGGGGAATGATGTGGAGTTCAGAGTATAAAAAAATAAAATAGATTTCACCCTAAGAAATATGACTTTATCAAAGACCCAATCTGTTATTTTGTTATGGAAATGAGGTGTAAAGCAGCTGAAAAAGACAAAGATTGATGTGTTCTGATTAGCACTCAAGGGCACACTGCCCATGGAAGCAGGTGTTGCAGGTGCAGACAACTACTGTAGCCTACAGCCACAGATTCACAGATTGCACCAGCAGATAGTGTAGTTAGAACACATATCAATTGGTAAATTTAGCATTTTGTAAAAAGAGGGCGCTGGTCAGACAGAGAGAAGTGTAGAGGGACAGACACATCTGAAAGAGGAAATTGGTCAGTAAAAAAGGCGTGAGTAATGCTGATGCCTGTTGCCATGGAGATTGGGGTCAATGAATGGTTGCTATGGAGCTTGCTACTTGGAATTCTGGCAAGTGGTTATATTTTGATGTGTGTGTTTGTCTGTGTGAGGAGTCTGAAGATGTGATGATGAGAGTGTGTTTACATTATAAATGAGACTGTACGTACTTTGAATCTGTGTGTGTGTGTGTGTGTGTGTGTGTGTGTGTGTGTGTGTGTGTGTGTGTGTGTGTGTGTGTGTGTGTGTGTGTGTGTGTGTGTGTGTGTGTGTGTGTGGCTTAATAAAAACAAGACTATCCCCAAACTCTCTCAATATAATTCAATTTTTATTAGTAATTAGTCATTTTTAAAAGATTTTCCATGTTTAAATCTCACACTACCATCACTCTTTAAAAACCAAAAAGGAAAGACTATTAATGATGTCATTAGTTTCTGTGATGGACACACTTAGACCTTTCACACACAGTCTTTACAGCCACTATAAGGTGTGAATTTTTTTAACTAGAGTTGATCACATGATTGACCAACAAATATTTGATCTATGTATATCACTGACTATATCACTTTTATGCCACTTAATGTAACTACTTTGTGTTTTAACCTTTTCTGTTGATGTTGGGTGATACGGTTTGAAACATTTTATAATGGTGCAACGTTTTTATTAGTCAATATGGTGTTAGATACCTTAGTTCCAACTCTGATACCAATGGCAAATAAACACCCAATGCTCATATAACACCGCCGAGACATTCTCATTGTAGGTTGCAAACATACTAGTTTTAATGTTCCCGACAAACCTCCACTGTTACTGTATGTGTCTTACTGTTCTTAGAGATGCTGTGACTTACAGTGTTTTATAAGCCAATGGGGGGCCATTAAGGATGCATGCATGCACATGAGACAGCCTTAAGCTGTTATTCCTACAGTAAAACATGCATGATGAGCATCTTAAGTAACTTCACAAATTGTTTCCTACACACTGCTGTTCATCTTCTTTGGAGCATGTAAAAGGTTATGTTGGTTACATTTTCCAGCTGTCTAACAAAAGGCCCTGAGACGTTTTCATTCTTTCTTCACTTTGTCCGGGTGGATCTAGATTTAACATGTCTTACTCAATTGTAGTTTTTGTTTTTGTCCGAGTAGAGTTTTTCCAATGAGGCGATGTATTTAGTAGGTTTCCGGGTCAGTGAGTTCTTGTGCATGTGTATGTGTATGTTTGCGTGTGGAGCCTGTCATATCCCTATTGTGATTCATTCTGTTTTGTCTCTTTAGCGCACACTGTCTGTCTGTCAGATCCACATCTGGTTCATGTGCTTAGTTTTGATTATTTGTCTCGGTGTGTGTGTTAGTGTTTGTGCGTGTGCATGTATGTGTGTGACTGAACATGAGACAGTGGATTTGATTTTTATCCACCTGATGTCAGTAGAAAATGAGGTCATTGCCCTGCACGACCCGAATTGCTGAGTCAGCTCTTAAAATATTAAGAAATAAAAGGTGTTGGAGATCACTTTATAAAAGAAAAAGGTAATACAATAAACTGAATTGAGACTATACAAGTAAATTACAGTATGTTTCAGGTATCAGAATGAACACATAGATGCACGCATATACAGTGTTAGCGTAGGTCAGAGGATCGGATTAAAAAGCAACTATTGAGCAGATGTTTTCCACTGTCGCTCCAGTCTCGTTATGAATCAGGTTAAGTTTCAAGTTTGTTTTACTGGAGGCCTCTTTTGTCTAACAGACATGTATCACGTCATGTCCAGTGAACATCTTTGCTAATGTTTCCTGCATGTGAGTATTTTAGCTGCTGGGTCCAGGCTCTTGTGGTATCAGAGGACTTGTTGTCCCCTCGGCTGAAGTCCCTCTGGTCCTTGATGCAGATGTGGACGTGATGTCGTGTGACACATCGAGTCTGGAAGATATGGGAGGGTTTTGATACATCTCTGGACTGGATGCCTTGCTGTCTGTGTGTGTGTGTGTGTGTGTGTGTGTGTGTGTGTGTGTGTGTGTGTGTGTGTGTGTGTGTGTGTGTGTGTGTGTGTGTGTGTGTGTGTGTGTGTGTGTGTGTGTGTGTGTGTGTATAAAGAGATGCAGGAGGATGGACACGCAAGCGAGCACAGATGCAGCATGGAAAACAGGAATAGACTCTTTACATCAGTGTGGAGGCTAATGGGTGTGCACGTGGAGTTTGTGCACGTGAGGTTCCCCTCCCCCTCGCCTTACTTGTGATATCAGACCGTGTACAGTATGCCACCACTGGGCTGTGAGTACAGGCCCATCCCCCCTCCTGGCTGGGATACATCATCATCGTTGTCGTCATCAGTGAAGAACCTTTGGGGTGTTCCTCTTGTGCATTTACACACACATACACACCCACACTTCACACACATTAAACACACATGCCGTCTCCTTCCTTGCATCCCTGTTTTCTTTATATAATCTAATAATCCTGTAACTCTGTGATGCATTCTGTAGGGAATATATTAAAGCTGAGATGCTGCACTCTGCAGAGGGTATTGAAAAGGACAAATAAGGACACACATGCACACCATCAAGAGCAAACACAGATGCCTCTTGGGGAACCGTTTTTTTTTTTTTTTTTTAACCTTGCCAGAGCTGTATCCTGGGTGTATTGATTTTCAACACTCTGCACGCACATATATGCCGGCTTATAAGAACGTGCTTGATAAAACGATCAACCTTCAACACACAGCATAAAAGTTCTCATTTTCTGAAAACCTGCGTTGAACCTTTACACTCGGATCAACAGGGTGTAGGTCGCCTCTGGTTTAAATTTGGTCAGTCATTGTTTGGTGCGCTGCGTGTGCTGCACAAGGTGAGATACACTCCTAATGAGCTTATCCTCCAGATGGAACAGCTGTTTGACATTGTATGTGTTTCGTTCATGGTGACTTAATGAAGAACATGTTGGGAATAAAGCTTTTTTATTGACATGAAGCAAAAGGGCAGAAACTGGCAACTAGTTTTAATGGATTTGTATGATGCCAGACATTTTTGCAACAAATTACTCCTGACAGCTTAATGAAAGATCGGCGCTTCAGTATTTTAGAACAATATAAATCAGCCTTCCCCTGTGCAGACCACACACACGGCCCGCCTGTTGTGTCTGTGTCATGTTGTGGTGGAGAGGAGTGCAGTCTGTATAAACAGTGTGTGTTCTGGGTGAGAGGAGAAACAGAAGAAGAAGACAAGTGCAAGACATACTTAGCTGAACGTCGCCCATCTAAGGGGCAGAAGGAATTCTGGGAATGTTTTTCTCTGGAGCAGGTGCTAAAGCTGCAGCCGGACATTGAAGCCCACCCACTTAAAGAGTCATGAACATTTCAGAGTGAAGTGTTTACATGTTCTTCTTCCAACTATGCACAGTGTCCCTGCTCTGATGTGTCAGATGAAAATGAGGGTGGGGTCAGGATTGTATAATGACATCATCATTACTTACCAGGTTTTTTTTAAGGGGGTTAGGGTCATAATTTTCCAGTACATGCAGGGTGTAACGCAGATGCTTGGCTATGTCATCTACAATAAACTCAGCTGATTCTGTTCACGAAGAAAAAAAAGTTCAAGTGAGAAATACTGCATGTCTTTTTTTCTTTTTTGCCTAGTTTTGTGTGTGGCAAAGAAATAAGAAAATGTATCTTGACATAGCGAGAACTGAAGTGCACTGTGTGTGGCCCACATACAAGGAGTTGCCATAACAACTGACCCTTTTTAATGTGGACATGTGTCTGTGTGTGTGTGTGTGTGTGTGTGTGTGTGTGTGTGTGTGTGTGTGTGTGTGTGTGAGAGGAGAGAGATGATGAAGGCGCCTGCCCCTCCTTACTACCTCAAACACACACACAATCACACACACACACACACACACACACACACACTGCTAAGGGCTGTCAAGTCCCATTACCTTCATATTTAGTCCACAACATAAATTTATAGCCAAAACCTGAGTACTTGTAATGCACTTTTTCTTAGTGTCAGTTATAAAACGTGAAGTCTCCGGTCCCAAACACATCTTTTAACAGCTCGTTTTAAATATACTTAAAGAGCAATATGTGTCTCTGCATGATGTCATTCATTGATTTTGCAGCTGAGGCCATGCTCACTAATCTTCCAAAGCGATGCTTTTGTCGATCCAGTCATTAGGATTAATGATCATGGCTGAGACACTCTGATGTCTGGAGACTAGTTGTAGTTTAAGTTTCAGTAGGGGTAAAATACAGATACTGTAAATGCTTACATGTACATTATTATACACTTCTACTGTCGATGTAGTCCTTTGACTTTATTCTTCCTGTCATTCGTTCATCTCTCACTACCTTGGGATTCCTTTGCATGTTGTGTTTCCGGTCTGATTAACTGTGTGGCTTTGTTCTCTCCGCAGGGCTGGCATTGATGATGTGGAGACAGACGTCGTGGAGATTGAAGCGAAGCTAGACAAGGTATGAATTATGCCAACAAGCTACCCAGTTCATGGTTGTAGTAGTGTTAAATTGTGTTTCCTTTATCTTGTTATTTTTTAGTGGAAATCTGCCTCAAACGTATGTGGTAGACACACTGATTTCAGTACACAGTTAGTAAACTAAAAGAGGGATGTTTTGGATTTTATCTACAATGTCTGGAAGAAAAAAACCATAAAAGAAGAAATAATGTCAGTCATTGACAATGTCTACAGAGTGCCCTCTGAATCTCTCATTTTGTCTCTTGCTGTCTCTTATCTAAATGTCAGAGTGATTAAGAGCCGGAAACACTGCAGACATTACTTATTATATTTAATAGGTTTATGCACTGCTACATAACACACTCACACAAACACACACACATATTGATTGCTAACAGCAAGCACACTGACTGAGCAAACGCAGACAAATGTCACAGAGCCAGTTTTTATATTCTGTGGTTTGAGAGTGTTGCACAGAGACAGAGTCTTCGGTTAGCTGAGCTTGTGATTTGTTTGACCTGCTTCAGCAGAGAAATTGTGTGCAATCAACAACAACCCAAAAAACTGTGGATATGTAGATATGGATGCTGAGGATCATTCAAAAGAAATGTGAAATGGCCAACCTTTGTAAGGTTTTGGCTACTATGATCAAATTTTGCATGACTTGTTTTAAAACTGACCACAATAATCAATGAAGATGGGAGAAGTATTTATTGGAGCATGTATTAATATTCTTGTAACTTTATAAACAGTACTAGGAAGGAACAGTTTGTGAAGTGTAAGCAGCACTCAGCTGAAAGAATCATCATAAAAAAGTTATATGAAAATGAATAAATCTAGACAAAAGGAATGATTTTCTGTATTTTATCAGTGATGGATGTAATTACCTTAATGTCAAAGCTGCTGTCTAACCGCCTCCAGAGAGTCTATGAGGTGAGGTAATGCCTCTTTAGATAAACTGATAGTGTTGTAAGTCAGACAGCTTTTAAAGGATGAGACAGTATTCAATCTAATGTAATAATGACCACACCTTCTTTCTTCTTTTGTCTCCCTTGATTCAATTCATTTCCTCGTTGTCCTTCGCATTAAAAAATTCAAGACATGACGTGGTTATTTAGATTGTTCTGGTATTTCACAATGTTGCCTCAGGTTTATCAAGATGTCCATATTGTTACATTAATGTGTAATATTAAACGTGCTCCACTTTGACATTTCAATCGACTGTCCAGGCCTCCACTCTGTCACACATAAAAACACACACATGCATACACATCATACACAGATTGTTCCAGCCCCAAAGAGCGTTGATCTTTGAGCTTGAGGTAAATGGGGTTAGGGAGGGAGGGGTTTCCATCAGGGTGATTTGTCCTGTTCAGCAGGGGTCCTTACACCGCCCCTGTTTGGACGCTCTCTAGCTGCCTGAGGTCATTAAGCAACAATGAAGGCTCTATGAGGAGGATATTTATGAGATGACTGACAGCTGAACCCTGCAGTGATCTTCCAATGAGGCATTATGACAGTACAGCATTTTCAATTGACAATCCACTAATAACAAGTACAAAAAGTGTCATTGCTACAGTATATCGCGTTGCACTGTAACTGCTTCGGTCAGTTAGTGCAGCCAGGTCTGTCACATGGTACCAGATGTGGCTTTTTGACTTCGAGTTGATCCCTGTGGTTCTTCCAGCCCATTTATCAACAAACCGTGACACATATACTGTGCCTCTAATAGCCGTGCTTAGACCCTGGGGGCTCGGTACAGCACTCGATGAGATCAGATTTCCTATATCGGCCAGTTTGTTGACAGATATGTTGTCGGACCGGCCTGCGAGCCGCAGCAGGGCAGGAATTATGCTGCTGTGTGTTTTATCGCTATTTGATAGCAGGGTCAGTGTAGCCTGCATGATGCACAGCAGATAAGTTTACATCCAAACAAACAACACAATTCAAACTCACTGTTCATCACTCTAAGGTCTGTGCAGAGTCGAAGACTTTCTGTCGGCCATCCAGAACACCACACTCACACTGCGACAACCCTGGGAACTGTTGCATGGAATGCTATCATTACGGGTTTACTGCACTCTCTCTTCTGCACAGCCACTAACCAACACACACACACACACACACAAGCACATGTTCCATACACAGTTGCATCAATGCGTTGATAATGATAATGTACCACTCTATAGCTTATCATGAAAGCCATAAACTTGGAAAGTGTAGCGTCTTTGCCAGCTCATGTGGTGTTTGAAAGAACACATGCTATGGCTGTGAACTGTCTGCACCTGGTGATATACATGTTTACACTGAGGGTTTTATTCCTATCAGCTATAGACTGTACACAACTTTACAGTGTCACACTATACAGCAGCTCCAAAAACGTTCCAAACCTTCACATCCCTTCATTTGGATCTTGAGCTAGCAGCAGAGTGTCCCCTGGAATTAAAACATCCCAACTATTTAAAGAATTCCCTGAAACATTTCTTCACACGTTTGGTCCTCAATGGATGGCGCTGACTTTTTCTCCAGTAGCAACATTTGTGATATTTTTCAACAATAACTAAATTACTCACAGGGCCTTTTTATGCCTTTTATTGAGAGGACAGGAAGTAGATAGAGTTGGAAACAGGAAAGAGAGTGTGGCGCATGTCATGTGACAAATGGCAGAAGGTGGCAGGGTGGGAGTCAAACCCCCGGCAGCTGCCTAAAGGGCCATAGCCTCCGTAGATGAGTGGGATTTGACCAATGAGTTTAAACCTTCAGAGGGTTTTTAATATAGATTGAGTTTTTTTGTTAATTTATATGTAATTTGTAAAGTAAATTATTTATGCTGGGTTATAGTAATAAAATGTACATAAGATGAAAATGAATACGTCTTAAGGCAACTATGGCTCATCAGGAAATAGAACACACTTTGTGAACCTGTGCTACACAGTGCAGTGTCTGGGATAAAAACGTGATTTTCCTCATCATATCTTTAATACAGTTTCAGATTTACTTCATATGTAGCTGTCAGTACTGTTCTTGTGAATATACTCTGACAGTTAAGCAAAACTCACATCTATCAGTGACGATGCAAAAAGAAGATGAGGATTGAAAACATTTAGAAATCTGCATGCACTACTTCCTGTTGGATAAAAACCTCTGAAAGTTGATTAAATGAAAGATAAAGGGATTGGGACGCAGCTCAAGTCACGGTAAAAGGTCTGTTGGTCAAATTGATGGAATATTAAAAAGGTCATGAGGCCATGTGCCCTTTTATCCTGTGAACTCTGTGTTTTCATTCCAAAGCTTAATAAAACACTTCACATTTGTAGACGGCACAGTCCAGCTTTAATAGCGTCTGCTGCACTGTCCTACAAACAGAAACAGAAAGCAGGATTATTCTAAATTTGCTGCGTCCTGCATGTGACCAACAATTTCTTTGAAGCTTTGCTTGATTTGCGTCGACACTGTAACTATTAATATCCTAGCGGGGGCATTGTGTAAAACATCTGACTCTTGAAATAGAAAGTGTTTTTTGTTGTGCATCTAAAGCGAGTATTTTTATTCCCCCTCTAGCTGGTGAAGCTGTGCAGTGGGATGATCGAGGCCGGCAGAGCCTACGTCAGCGCCAACAAGCTCTTTGTAAACGGCATCAAGGACCTGTCCCAGCAGTGCAAGAAAGAGGAGACGATATCGGTGAGGAGAAAACTGACCTCAGATCTGTTTATTCACCAAGTATTGTTGAAGGGTCTCGTCATGTGATCGCTCTGTCCCTACAGTAACAACAACAGCAGAGCAGCATAAACAGTATTGTCCAGACACAGAGTCATCCAGCTGTTTTAAGCGTGACAGATGTGACCACATGCAGACAAGAGATGTTTATGCTGATAGTTTACATGGCTGGAAGCAGACAGATCTGAAACCTGCTTTATGGTTTTCTCAAATGAAAACATTTAGACTAAATTTCCTGTCGTTTCAGGTGTCACAAGACAAACAAATGCTTCCATAGTCAAACAATTTTTATAGTTAAACACATTTTATTCAAAGTACATTTCTAAACCACGTTGTTTGTGTGGAACAGACAATGTTTATGTGTATTTTTTCACATTTCTTTTGTCAATGTATATACTTAGTAGTATCCCATACATACTTGTGTGCTTTACCTCAACATGTGTGTCTGTGTGTTCTATACACATCACAGGAATGCCTTGAGAAGTGTGGAGAAAGCCTGCAGGAGATCGTCAACTACCACATGGTGAGGCCGCTTTAACACACACTCACTGGTTTTTAGCCACAGGCAAGAGGTCGAGGTGGAGCTGCTGCTCTGACATGCCTGACTCCTCCTGGCATGTTAACGTATTCAGACATCCAGTCCAGTATTGCACAACACACACACACACATACAGAGAATTTAAGTGTGACCTCACTCTGTGACGGTGAATCTGTCCACACAGGCCTCTCCTAAAGCGTATGATCAAAACCACATGTTTTACCAGATGTGTATGCCTGATATAATTCACACACTTTGAACACAAAGACACATACACACACACACACACACACACACACACACACACACACACACACACACACACACACACACACACACACACACACACACACACACACACACACATACAAACACACACACACACACACACGCACGCACACTTACAGGTTTGATTTGTGTGACTCTATCTTTTAGACTTACTGTGATTAAGAAATTCCCTTTTCTGGAGATTCAGAACAGGTTTGTGAAGCCTCAAGGTAATTTGACTTCTAAAGGAATAATATGACATACAGTATGTTGGCAAGCTGTACACTTTTATACTTTCATGCACAGGTTGGATTCATCATGTTATGTTCACAGTCCTGATGAAGTGTGAGAGTTCTAAGATATTTTGAGGTGTTTGTCTGCTGATTGTTTGTGTGTGAATGAAAATAGCAAAAAGGCAGACGATACAAGGAGTTGTAACAGAGAGATGGTGGAGGGAATGATGAGGAAAGAGAGAAGGAGAAAAAGGGAAGGGGAGAAAGGGATGAGAAAAATGGAGTAAATAACAAGGCAGTTACAAGGAGTTGCACCAGTCTGTAAATCAAGTTTTTCCCTCCCAGACATTGTTTTTTATAAAATAGAAGTAAAAGCTTGTTTTCTCAACAAGAAGACTGAGAACATATCGATGTTTTCAGTTAAATTAAAGGCAGATAGCTACATTTGATTAGATTTTTCATTATTTCAGATAGAGACAATCTTATTTTTGACTCCATCCTGTCTCACGACTGGACGGGATAATGATGCTGCATTTTAAAAGCAGTTGTGCTTTCGGATTAGATGACTCTTATCTTTCTATTTTAATCTCTTTGTTGTATTGTGACCTCTGTGAGCTTCAAATCTTCCCCATTTTGTCATGCTTCAGTCATTCTCATCTGCAACATAATCTAAATGGAAAGCTTCTGTAATGTTATAGATATGGGCTCCTGTCTTGGGAGTTTTTTTAGGTGAAAATTATGAACATTCAATGAAACCAATGCTATGCTATTCTATTCTATTCTATTCTAATCTATTCTAATCTATTGCGCACAAATAAAGAGTGCTGGGGTAGTTGAAAGGTATTCAAACACTGTTGGTTAAAAAGGTTAGTTAAAAAGAGCAGGAAGTCACAACATTGAATGCAACAAAAACAAAAGTTGATCCTCTGATATTCCTCACTAATCCTTCTCCTTCTTTTCCCCATATTTTCTCATTTGCGGCTCGTACTTCTCTGACCCACTCCGTCAAGGTCAAGCCTGTTTAACTTTAAATCCCTTTTTAAATCAAGTCAAAGTGCTGCACACGAGATCCAGATCCATCAGCTGCATGAATCCAGATGAATCGTCTCCTCTGTCTTCTCCTTTAGATGGCCATCTTTGCCCTTCCTATGTGCTCACATATCTGAAAGATTTCTGCATATTAGCTTTTAGTTGTTGTGCTTCTTCTTTCTGTAATGTGTGTTTTATTTTTATTTGGTTATTTTAAGATTCATTTTGCCTTTATTCGATAGGACAATAGAGTAGAAAGCCGGGTAGAGAGAGTGGGAAATTTCATGCGGGAAAGGATCCACAGGTCAGACTTGAACCAGGGCCACCCACTTAGAGGGCTATAGCCTCGGTACATGGGGCGTGACCTTACCGCTAGGTCAACTGCGCACCCCACCCCCCCACCCCCCTTTTTTTTTTTTTATTACCACCACCTGTTTTTCTCTGCATGCCAAAAACCTCTCCACCCATCCATCCATCATCCATCCATCCATCCATCCATCCATCCATCCATCATCCATCATCCATCATCCATCATCCATCATCCATCCATCCATCCATCATCCATCCATCCATCCACCCACCCATCCATCCATCCATCATCCATCCATCCACCCATCCATCCATCCATCCATCCATCCATCCATCCATCCATCCATCCATCCATCCATCTCCTCCTCCCCTGACATACCCTTCATCACAGGCGCACCACTCCTCCACCCTAACACCTAGGAATTACAGTAATAGCTTGTCTGGCAGACAGTATGAATGAAAGGATGGAGGCGGGGGGCAAAGTGGACGAAAATCAATCTAGGTTTGACCATCCTCTACACGCCTTTATTCTGCACCCTCTCAGATCTCTTCACACACCAAACAAAGGCATTCAAAGAGAAAAACAATCTCCATGTGAATCTCATGATAAGCATATATGTGTTCTTCCAAACAAGCCTAAATCCTTACTTTAATCTCAACAGAGTGAGAGTGATATTATTCCGGATTTAAACAGATTTTTTTTTAATAGACACAGGAGATATGACTGATGAGACTTTGACAGGATCTTGAATAACCTGAATAGTACTGGGGGAAATGAGTGTTTACACGCTGCAGGTCGGGTTGGGTCAAACCCAGGGCACTATAATCCGGAGCAGGTTTGGGTGGAATATTTGGATTAGTTTACATGTGGGTTTAAAGTCTTTTCTGATGGAACTGATTTTTCTTCTGGGATTTAATTCTTTCCTGTCTGACTGGCTTTCTGCACTGGAAAGTACCAAACCTTTATTATGTACAGCGCACATTGTCCACAGTCTGTTGAAAAAAAAACCCACACGAGTTGTATTTATATTAAACTACATCATATTACAACCAACTAGCAATTATTTGCCAGCTTTATGGACGTAATCACATTATATTTTATTTCAAAACCCAGTGTTTAAAGGAGTTACTTTTCCCTTTAAATATCTTAATTAAGCATCAAATACTTATTTATATTATTTATAAATTTATTTTCATGATAATGATTTAAAAAGTCATGCTTGGATTACAATTTTGCTAGTTAAGCATTTAGTTGTTGTTTTTGTTGGGTATGTACCAACTAAGCACCATTCGCTTACATCTTCTGCTGTGGTTCTTTTCAGGAAATATCCTTTAAGAACCTGTTAAGTGTAACCAATAAAGTGGATATTTTTTGTCAGAGGTGGATTAATGAGGCTAGCGAGACAAAGTTGATAATAACTAAAAAACAAAGAGCTGTTGTAAAAAGGTACATTTGCACAGTCATGAATAAAATGAGGTGTCTGGTGTTTGACGTTGACTTGAAACTTAGTTAACTGTGATCTAAAGCAAAGAAACCAAAGAAGCAGTCTGTGAAGGCACGTGGCTCTGTAGAAAGGACCTATGGATCACACGCACACCCACTGACACACCCACTGACTAAGCCTGTAATCCTCAATGTGTATGTTTATTTACTACGGATTTCTATAGAAAGTTTAATCCACAAGATGTCAAGTGGTGTGTACATTGTGTGTGTGTGTGTGTGTGTGTGTGTGTGTGTGTGTGTGTGTGTGTGTGTGTGTGTGTGTGTGTGTGTGTGTGTGTGTGTGTGTGTGTCTGTGTGTCTGTGTGTTTGCAAACTATCAGAATCTAATCTCCCTGTTTGTGTATAGAGTTGTATGTCTCTAATGTTTGTTTTGTTCACTTCTAAGGATGAATCAGTAACATGAAATATACAAAATTACTTTATTACGGTAGAAGGTTGCTCTACAGCAGCTGTTTTTTTAACCATTTTATTTAGAAATGTGTTTAAAATTAAAAAAAAAAAATGTAAATGTGAAAAAAATGCAAAGATGAAAGACACACAGAAGAAAGGGGAGGAGAGCTAAGGAGATGAGTGTGAATCTCACAGTGAAAAGGAAGGGGGAATGTAAGATAATGTAATGCAAAAAAAAATCTGTTGAGACAGCAGATGAGTGATTGCACGTGTGTGCGTGTGTCCTCATCTCTTTTTCCCTATCTCCTCCTCTGCCTGTGGAATTATCTGTTTCCACAAGGGTTCACGTTGCCATCATGTGGTGAGATGTAGCAACTACAGAATTAGATATGGTCACCCCCTGCTCTGGAGGTCATATGAGAAAAACGAAATGCTGAAGTGTCACACCTTTTGTCCCCACTCTTTGTGCACAGATTCTGTTTGACCAGGCTCAGAGGTCCATCAAGCAGCAGCTCCACACCTTCATTAAAGAGTAAGTGTCTCATGTCACAGATTATACATAGCACTGAGAGAGCCTGATGCAATATTAAATGATCATCTTTGATATTTTAATCTGGTACATCAAGACTGAAAGATATTATTGATTAAAATGTAACTGCTCACATCATATGTTGTGCACAAGCTACACATTAGTGTCGATTTGGATTCTGACTGAACTCTTTGTGTCTCTTTTAGGGATGTGCGTAAATTCAAGGACACTAAGAAGCAGTTTGATCGGGTGCGTGAGGACATGGAGCTGGCTCAGGTGAAGAATGCTCAGGCTCCCAGGAACAAGGTGCACGAGGCCGAGGAGGCCACACAGGCTCTCATCCTCAGCCGCAAGGCCTTCAGGCACCTGGCGCTGGACTACGTGCTACAGGTGCAACACAAGACACTCACTACCAATGTTGTTCCCAGTGTTGTCCAGTAGATGGCGCTTACACTCAACAGAAACAGAAAGCAAACATTCAGTCTAATATCTATACTTTCCTGTTTGATTGTGGCAGATTAATGTGCTTCAAGCCAAGAAGAAGTTTGAGATCTTAGATGCAGTAAGTAGCCCAAACATATTTCCTATATTCAATGATTGACAGCTCTATAACGTTGTATGTTTTTGTATAAGCTATATTTCAAACCGTCATTATTCCTTTTCTGTCTCGTGCAGATGCTGTCCTTCATGCGAGCTCAATACACTCTGTTTCAACAAGGCTACAACATCTTGGACGAGATCGACCCCTACATGAAAAAACTGGCTGCACAGGTGAGCAAGAGCAAGGAAATGTAAACACACACACACACTCAAATGTTTAAACACTTGTAATTGTTCAGCTACTTTTTCTGTATTTGCTCGGCAATCCCTTATGAACAACAGTTCTTCGGACAAATAACATGCACTGATGTAAACAGATGTTGGAGTCTTGTCTGTGGCTGTTGAGTATTTTATTCTGTTTAATTAATACAAATTCAACAGAAACTATGCAGTTTATTTTCCAGGTTATTGTTTAAGGGGTTTTGGCTCATTAAGAACAACACTATGAAGCCAAAGTATGAATCCTGAAATAGAATAGTCTTCAACCAATGTTTTGCCTTGTCAAAGGTTTGCATTTATTATAAAAGTAAGTCTTGTGTATTCAGAATCAGAATCAGAATCGGGTTTTATTTCCAAGTACATTTACACACACAAAGAATTTGTCTTGGTGTATCGGTGCAAAAAAACAGATAACAAAGGAAAGGAAACAAAGGTATTTTGCCTAATATCACAACTGAACTGAATCTGTTGTCTTCTTCTCTCGGTGCAGCTGGATCAGCTGGTGATCGACTCGGCCGTGGAGAAGAGGGAGCTGGAGCACAAACACGCCATCATCCAGCAGAGAGTGAGACAGCAACAAAAACCTCTTTACATCCCACCCTCACTGCCCTCACATATCTCCTTCTGCTCCTCGTTCATTCCCCTGTCAGCTACATGAAGCAGTCATAGAAAAAAAGGAATCACTTCCTGGCGCTAGTGACATGTCCCAGACTAATATTGAATACCAAACCTTTGTGCACTCTTTGATATTACCGGTAGTTTAAATAAGATCAAGACCAAGTAGCCGTTAGTTTATCCTCAAGACAGGAGTTCATTGGGTGATTTTATTCTTCTCTCAGTTTGGTAACTGTAACGTCTCTATTGATTGTGAATAAGCTAATAGTGACACACATGAACCTGACTTGCCTTGAATAACATGTTATTGTTAAAGTAACCTATAAAGTGGCTGAACCAGATTTTTTTAAGTCATAACAAGATATTTAGTTTCACCTTAGCGTGACAGCTTCCTCCTACTTCAGGCTTCATTTAAGCTCTTTAAAAAGACAAGGCATTACAAAATGTATTTTTATGCATGTCTTTCGGAAATCACAACAAAAGTGTGTCATGTGGTCATCAATCTTTTATTTAAAACATATTTTTATTTATCTTTAAGATCTCTTTGTATTAGTTTGAAATCCGTGGCTCCAGTCTTTGATTCATCATCATCATCATCAACGTTTATTTAAGTTCTCGGAGAGATCGTTGAGGGCGACCCTCATTTACAATGAAAACATACATAAATGAAAAACTACGAGAAATGAGATAAAGCTACTACAGAAAATAACATCAATAAAAGAGCAATAAGAACAATAAAACACTAAAATAATTTAAAAGCTTGAAATGACTACAGTGATAAGTCAGAAATTAAAAGTGTTCTTAAAAGTGTGAAATCTAAAGTGTCCGTAAGGGATAAAAGTGCTCAAATTCAGGTGCTGAAAAATGTTTCAGGACTTCGCAGAAGAACAGAAAACCTCTAAAGCAATCTGAACACGTTTATGGATGTGGTGTTTGTCTTCTTCAGGCTCAGAATAAAAGGTTTCACACAAAGACAGTGTGATGTATTTAATGTAGGGGTCACTAAGCTGAATAAAGACAGTTGTTCTTTTCAAGCTCTCAACCCGGCCCCACAATCGCAATCATCCACAGAAGCGCAAAATTCATCCATCTGTTACCAGAAGGGGTGCCAAAAGCTTTTTATTGCACAAACTTGGCCAATCCGTCTGATAAATGAAGATGCAGAGTGCCAGCAACCTGACAGACACAGTGTGGGGCTTTGTGTCTAAACCCAGCGGCAGCTCACAAATATTTAATCTGAAAGCCTAACAAATGGGTTAGACTGAATCTTTCAACACAATAATGTGAACACACTTCAGTTGCAAGGAGCTCATGCCATATATAAGAGGGACCCTCTAATAAGATCAAACTATGCACAGGAATGTCTCACAGATTTGGCTTCACAGTAGTGATTTAATTTGAACACTTTTCTCTCTCTCTGTCTCCCTGTCTTGTCCTCGTCTGACCATGTTCCTCCTCCAGACTCTAATGCAGGTGAGTTCACATTTTCCTTTTTTATCTAAACCCAAAATTGATCCACAGTCTGTGCAGAACACACCCTGTAGACTCAAAATATATCAATCTTTTCTGAAGTCTCAGAGGTTTTAAATGTCAAGTTGGCTACAGCATTGTGTAATAATCTTCCAGGATAAACATTATAAAATGTTTGTTTACCTTGCCTGCAGTGGCGGTAGATTTCTTTTTTAAGAGGATTGGATTTCTTGATGCTGGCTGTTCATATGTGATCTCTGAGCTCTGGTGTAAACCTCCATCCCAATTTCTGCACACAAAGAGATTTTTTAACCTTACAGTGTCTGAAAGAAGAGAGCACAAGTCTTTTCTTCAGTCGTTTATTCACAACAGTTGCGAGCGTGTTTCACCTTTGACCTGCTTAAATTGGTTGATAGCATTACTGGATTATTACATAACTATACAGGTGAACACACACATGTCCTGGTTGGAACGCTTCTCGACAGCTTACAGTTGCACAAATGATAGTACCTTGTAAAATGTGGACGAGCAGGTGTGGGTGTGTGTGTGTGTGTGTGTGTGTGTGTGTGTGTGTGTGTGTGTGTGTGTGTGTGTGTGTGTGTGTGTGTGTGTGTGTGTTCTGGGTACATGACTTGGTAGACAAGACATTATCTTTTTATGCCACCCAGCACTAACTTGTGTGTGTTTGTTGTGAGTCTGTTTATTGCTTGTGTTGGCCAATCAACATCAGCTTTGTTCAGCGCTTTTCTTTGTTCTCAGTTTTTTTATTTAGTAGCCTTGTGTTCATGTCTTGTTTCCCTGGTTATGACACTGTCACATGTATTACTACTCCAGTGCTTCTTGATTCAAGTTTAATGTAGATTTCTTTATCATATTGATTTGAAGTTGTTCCTCACGTCCTACTTTTCCTATTCAATCTGTTTTCTAGGATTATTTCAGGGTCAGCGCTTTTATGAGTTAAGATCATCTTATTCATATATATCTATATATATATTCATAGAGACTTTTTACTGTTTAGTGTTTATTCACACTATTTGACGATAATACCAACAGCTTCCTTTATATGATCCAATATATTTGAAAAATGTAAAACTAATAAAAATCCTGTCAATCGTTTATGACGTGGTAAATAATGCAATTATTCATTTAATGCAATAAGCATTTGATAGTAAGATGATTTGAGCTTCCTCTGTTCTCCACTATTGTTTAAAGTCAGAGAGTTCAGTATATCACTAGAGACTGGAGAGATCTGATGGTGGATGATGCCAGCTTCAAGCTCACATCCTCCTTCGTCCTCTGCCAGCTCGAATCAACAGATGGCATGAAAACACAGTGGTTGGTTTGATTTGAGGGTGAGAAAAAGAGGGAGACAAAGAGCAGACAGATGAAGAAGGAGAGCAGTTAAGATCCAGACACAAAATATATAAAAAAGATAAAACCATAGAAGAAAGGGGAGAAAGCAATGACTGATTTAATGTATTCTAACTAAATTACTTAAGAAGAAAGAAGCCACTGAATGGAGATTTTGTGCATTTTTATTAAAGACTTTCACAAGCATTGTTCTTAATTTATGAATCAAATATATCACAGGACCACTCCATATTTTACAGAACCTTTCTATACATTTTGCTGTAGTTATATTTTTGTAATTGACAAGATGAACCTCACAGGTCTTGGTTTTACAACGATCGAAGCCAATCGGTGATAATGAACTTAGCATGTTGCTCAAGACAAAAATACTCTGTATCATACCATCTGTAAAAAAAAAACATTTACCAAAGAAAGCCTGAGGGTAAAAAACAGATACAGCATATATAAAACGAAAAAATTGCTTTTCATTTTTTTAAACTGCCCCTGCTGTATGCAAATGCAGTGGTGCAAGAACCAAGTTATTGAATTATAGATGTTAGAGTAAAACTTGTAAAAACTTAGAAAAAGTTGGATGTCACTTTGGACAAGTTATTTTTCATAGATATCAAGATGATGGGTACATATAAAATTTCTTAATTGAAAATGATGGTTTAAAAGAACTATTAGATCCTAAAGCTACCAAAAAAAATATTCAGTAAATAGGCAAAGACTTATTGAGGTGTAAATTAGAGTCATAACTTAACAGGATCATGCACATAAAGTCAAAAAAATGTACTTATCAGCAGTGACAAATTACTTGAATCGTTCCATGTCTGGACCTTTAAAATCTTTTACTTCCTTTCCCTTTATTTTTACTGTTTTCTATAAATCTGCAACTGCCTCACCCCTCTCCTCCACTTCTTTATATCTCCCTCTCTCACATCAGATGCTCCCTCTTTCTCCTCTCTTACACAGTAGTCTTTACTCTTTTATGTGTGCAGGATTTCATTGTGGCTCCCAGGGGGATTGTGTCCTCCTTCATTGTTACCAGATTTGGCTGTATGGCTTTATTTGTAAGGCAAAGTGAGGTAAACAGAGAAGGACAAATATAAGAGAAAGCTGCTGTTAAAAGGCTTTATAGTTGGTGGGTTAGCAAATAATAGGCTGAAAGAAAAATTCAGACCATGGTAGGCCTGTAATTTATCATGTCAGTTCATATGAATTAACAAAAACTATAAACGTAATCTTTGAATCAGTCATTCGTGCTTGTTCACATTCACTTTTTGTGGCATATTGTAGTGCAACATAGCGATAACCTTTTTAAGAATTTCTATTAAAACATGGCAGCTACAAGGAAATCCCTGTGGTCTACTAGTACAGACATACCATCACATCATCACCTGTTCAATTCCTGCTGATGACTTTTGCTGCCTAAAGGCCCATGTATGTCTCCCTCCACTTTTTCTGTAATTCCTGTCAAAACTGCCACAAAAACTAAAACAACCCCACATGCATGGGCAACTTTCCCAAGAAGATACTCCAGACACAAGTTGTAATTGTATTTTCCTGTTTTTTCACGAGCAATGACTAGCTCTACTGCTGGACATAAGGACAGCAGCAACCAAGATAAAACCTGTTTCAGTGCAGCTCATAGGCCTGCAGTGATAGCTGATATGAGGCAGTATCGGGGAAGTAGAGCTATTAACTACAGGTGTGCCTACAGGTATGCAACATCATACATTGTGTTGGTCCCTTGTTTTGAAACCAGTTATGGAAGCCGCCTGTAGCCGTAGCTCCATGTGAATACCACAATCCTCCGTGGCTGATTTAAGGTGGGAAGAGGGGACACTGGGCTGGTGCTTGGGGAGCAATAATGTCAGCTTGATTAAGCAGCAATAGCGTTCAGACAGATGGAAAGCTGACTCCTCTAAACTGTGGAAGAAAAACCCCTGGCTTCCTGGGAGCCTTAAATCTCGATGTGGGGCAGGGGAGGAGGCGTGGTGCTGCCTCAAGAATTAAATGTTTGATCTCCGGCAGCCGTGGCGGGGTCAGCGGGGCAAGAGGACCCTGCGACAGCTGTATGCTAATGAGGGCTTCAGCCTTAGACTGTGTCAGCAGGAGGCATCCAGTGAAGGCACGCTGCTATAGCTGACAGTCTGTCCTGGACTCGCGTGGGGTGCGTGTGTTTGTCTTAGGTTGTCCTCAGCTCCATCGAGCTAACTTGTTGGATTTATAAATGCTGCCGTTTTGTTAAAAATAACTATTTATTTATTTATTTATTATTGGTATTTTAATCTGCTATTTTGGGTAAGATGCTGTTGGATGTCTGTGTGGTTAAGATGAAGGTACTTGGCAGACTGGACTATACACTGGTAAGGAGCGGGATTTCTTTTTTTTTGTTTTTTTGTACATTTTCATTTTAGGCCCTACATGTTTCTAAAAGTATTTTTAAGTGTACGTTTTTAGATAATCCAGAATAAATATTTGAATGCAAAACACACGATTTTATGACCACGACCTGTGGTTGTGAGACACTACAGTGACCACTAATACAATAGATAGTGTTGTTTCTCCATACTTGCTATCATGGCTTTGTTAACCACTCTTTATTTGCGTGGGGAAGCTTTTCTTCTGTCAATTCCCCTTTTCTTGTATATGATGAAAATGTAGTAAATAGAGCCCTATATTAGGGTATTTTGTATGGCGAGATGTCTGTGGCGTTGAAGACTGAATATTGGTGTGATTGTGCAGATAACACTCCTTTTCTTTCTTAAGATTAAACACGTCTGTTGTATTGGTTCCCCCTGAATGTTTTCATGCAATAAGTAGCCTTAAACTAATACAGCCATAGGACTCTAGTATAACACTGTCATGTGATGCTTCTGCCCTGAGCTGTTGAGCACAGAGGGTCAAAGAAATTAACAGTTCTGGCAGAAAAAGAAAAAAAACTGTGATGATTATAATAGTTGTGTGGATCAATGAAAAGACCTTTACTTTTGACAAAATCGAAAGAGCGCAGAGATTACAGTAGTCAGCATCAGTGTACAATTATACGGTCTGTTTTTCATGAAGAAGAACTTATGTTATAAGAGATACAAGATTCAGAGCAGAGACAGAGACAGGGCATTGTGTGTGTGTGTGTGTGTGTGTGTGTGTGTGTGTGTGTGTGTGTGTGTGTGTGTGTGTGTGTGTGTGTGTGTGTGTGTGTGTGTGTGTGTGTGTGTGTGTGTGCATGCCATATGCCCAGTATTACCTTGCCCCAAACCAAAGGCCTCTTTCACAATAGTGAAACCTAACCTCAGCCTCTCATTTCAATCTTCATCCCTGTGTCTTCAGTTTCGCCGAGCAGATGGCATCCGGCCTTAAAAAGTATTTTTGGTGAAATACAACTCTGTGACTACAAAACAGATTCAAAAACAGCGTAGACTTTTTAAGCTGACCCATTGACAGTTTCGTAAAGAGAAGAAGAGATTACGTTGTATTGTGTAAGAAGGTAATCACAACAGAGGAGAAGTTTAGCAGGGGCTCTGATTGTGTCAGTTACTGTTTGTGACACTGATAAGGTGCTATCTCTGTTTCACCTCTCGTTCTCTCGCCACGTGGATTTTTACACCTATTGCTGCACACTGTCATCTGACCTAATCTTACATTGGCTCAAGCTGAACTTTGCCATTGTTGTTAGACTGGGGACTGTGGATTCTCCCCCCCTCTTACATTGGAATCATGATAGAGGAATGTATGGAAAGAAGGAATGATTAAGGCAATCAATAAATGTATTTAACTTTGCACTTATGAGCATAATGGTTCAAGACGGACCTTAGAGTGGCTCATTGAGTTAAAGGGGTGACATCCAATCTGTTTGACTTTGTTGTTGTTTTTTACAGAGCTGCAGCAAAGTTTTAAATGGAACTGATAAAAAAACAAACTTGTGACATTTGCAGTTTATTATTTATAGGCCGTTCATTTCTCTAGAAATATTTTTTAAAAATCTGAAGCAGGACCCCCCCCACATTTATCTAGTACATCAATGTCTTCTTCCGACAGGACTTTTCTTATGATGACCCCAAGCTGGAATTCAATGTGGATGCACCCAACGGTGTGGTCATGGAGGGCTACCTCTTCAAGAGGGCCAGCAACGCATTCAAGACCTGGAACAGGTGAGAGGAGACAATAAAATAGAGTGAAATTACAATTTAAAAAAAAAGGAGAACTTTATTGAAATCTAATAGAATAACTGTGAATGGTGTAAAATAAGTGTTTAGAAAAAAGCATGTATTTTAAGGACAAAGTTCAGTTTGTCTGCAGATGCTTGATTCATTGTTTCTTTCTGACTTAAAACCTTCTCTCCTCATCAAGGCGGTGGTTTTCTATACAAAACAGCCAGCTGGTCTACCAAAAGAAACTCAAGGTACAGGATTAAGTACTTGTGCAATTTCTATTTACAACTCTGCAACTAAATAATTGCAAAGCATAGTTTGTTCTTACACAGTTCTTATATATATTATTGATCGTTTCTATATTGGAATCGTGTACTGACTTGTATTGTATGTAATTGCAAGTTATAAGCAGACGAGCCTGTTTTTGTGTAGCTTAAAATTCAAATCTGTAATGTTGATACTACTATCTCTGTCAACCTCAGGACTCTCTGACTGTGGTGGTGGAGGACCTGAGGCTGTGCTCAGTCAAACTCTGTGAAGATAATGAGAGGAGGTTCTGCTTTGAGGTGGTTTCACCTACCAAGTAAGTGTGTGTTGGTACTTTTTCTATTTTAAACTATTGCTGTTGTGTTGTCTTTCAAATATGTTCAAATTAGTTCTTACATGATTGACTTCAAACTTGGGGATTTGACAATCAGCCAAATAACATGAAGCTCATTTGCGGTAAGCGGTTATATAATATAATTTAATGATGCACAATGGAATGCCTTCCGCTGTAGGAGCTGTATGCTGCAGGCGGAGTCGGAGAAGCTGCGTCAGGCTTGGATCCAGGCTGTGCAGGCCAGCATCGCCTCTGCTTACAAGGACATAGCCGACAATTACTACATTGAGGTATGAACGCACTCAGCCACGGTGACATAATAGCAAACGAGTTGCATTTCTTTTTTTTTGTTTATTTAAGGACCAACAAATGAACACAATACACAACAAACCACAACAACAACATACAGACACATTACAACAAAACCAAAAACTAACAAAGATTAACAACAGCAGTTTTCACAACCAGTAGAGCTAAATAAAATCATTCATATTCTATTCAATTGTATTTGATGTTCCTATACACATTGCACTGAACTATTCCTCTTTCAGAAATATTGCCAATGGGGACCATTCCCTTACAAAAACTTTGCAGTTGCATTTCTATTCACAAGTTGGTCATGACTTCTCAATCATCTGTAACCTGTCCACCTGTCTCTGCAGCGCTTAGACCGCACAGCCTCGCCCTCCACCAGCAGCATTGACTCGGCCAGTGAGCCCAGGGAGAGGGTCGACAGGGGGGTACGTGGAGGAGGAGGAGGGGAAAGCCTCCTTCAGAGGGTGCAGAGCCTGCCTGGAAATGAACTCTGCTGTGACTGCGGCCAAACGGCTCCCTGCTGGGCCTCGATTAACCTGGGAGTGCTGCTCTGCATCGAGTGCTCCGGCATCCACAGGTAACCACAGCAAACGATGGGAGAGATTTGATGTAGAGAGCCAAAGACAAACGACAGGTGTATCAAAAGCATGAACAGCATGTAAAACATTTCATGACTTTTCGTATTGACTTTTAAAAAAAGAGAAAAACTATCATTTAAGATGTTCCAGGAAAAACTGCCCTCTTGTGACCAGAGAAGATCCAGTGAATCAGTGAATGTTTAAGCCATAAAACTGAGATTATTTGAGAAGCATATCTCTTGCAGCTTTATGAGTCTCATAAGCATTGAGAAACAGAAAACGTCTCCCACCTCAGGCATTTGTGGGGGAGGGAAAAATGTGCTAAAATCATGTAGATGTAGAAAAACGAATCTTCAAGTTAACTTTCTTCATATAATCTTCTTATTTCTTTCAGGAGTTTAGGCGTCCATTGCTCCAAAGTGCGCTCACTGACGTTAGACTCATGGGAGCCAGAATTGCTTAAGGTGTGTTTCTTCAGCACATTTGCTTGTCGGCTTCTTTTCCCTTTTCAAAGACTTTTCAAAGTTGTATTTCTAATTCTTTTTCTTATCGCTAAAACTTTTTGTACTTTCTCCCTCAATTTTTTTTCTCTCTTTCTGTCTGTGCACTGTGTTTCTGTGTTTCTCCTTTCTTCATTTTGTTAGCTGATGTGTGAATTGGGGAACACTGTGATCAATCAAATATATGAGGGAGCCTGCGAGGAACTGGGAGTGAAAAAACCTGGACCGTCCAGTTCAAGGTCAGTCTTTTTTCTCCAGGAGGAGCATTTAACGAGAAACAAAATGGGCAACAAAATCTATTCTACCATTTAATTAATGTTAAGATATTTTTGGATTAACACCACACTCATGTCAACCAGGTTTAAATGGTTTCTACACTGACCTGTCTTTCTAAAGTCAGTTTCTATTTGTCTTTCAGTCTCCACTATCTACTGCATAAACAGATCTAGGCTACTCTTGATTATCTGTATACATTTTTATCTTCAATATTTGACAACTGTTTGTTTTTCATCATGTGCCTTCAGACAGGAGAAAGAGGCCTGGATCAAGTCTAAGTATGTGGAGAAACGCTTCCTGAAGAAGATGAGTGGGAGTGAGGCTTTGGTAGAGGGTGAAAGGAAGTCCCGGCCGTGGACGGTGAAGAAGTGCCAGCGACACAACAGCTCCATACGAGCCCCCAACAAAGCCCGCAGGAAATACCATCGCTATGAGCCGGGCAGCGCTCCACCTGCTAACCTCTCAGCAGGTCAGTGCAGAGAATGGACCTCTCTGTGGTCATCATTTAGCACAAAGCTAAGAAAATCACAGCCTTTGAGATATGTACAATGTAACCTGAAGCTCAGACTGAAGTCTGTTATTTCGTTGCTCGACAGCAGCTGCAGCAAAGTTTCGTCGGGATTCCTTATTCTGTCCAGATGAGTTGGATTCGCTATTTTCCTACTTTGACACTGGATCTGGTCCTCGCAGTAAGTCTACCGCAACAACGTTTGTACATAAAGGCGAAATCAAATTGAACATTACTGTAGATGTGTGTGTGTGTGTGTGTGTGTGTGTGTGTGTGTGTGTGTGTGTGTGTGTGTGTGTGTGTGTGTGTGTGTGTGTGTGTGTGTGTGTGTGTGTGTGTGTGTGTGTGTGTGTGTATGGGTAGTGCAGTCTTTGCCTTGTAATGATTAACGTGTCCATGGCTTGGCGATGCTTGGCCCCGCAGGTCTTAGCAGCGACAGCGGCCTGGGAGGAAGCACTGATGGCAGCACGGACATCCTGGTGTTTGGCTCAGTGGTGGACAGTGTGACAGAGGAAGGTAAAATCCTCCTGTTGAGAATATCAATGTTGTTAAAAATGAGTCTTGACAGTGTAACTTTCTAACCCATTTTAACCAGTGTGATTACGCTCTATCTACCTTTTAAAACCACCTTATGAAATGAGAAAAATGTGAAACTCAAGAGAAATCCTTGAAAGTGGGACCACACTCACCTTGGGGAATAAATAAAGAAAATCAAACTACACTATTTGTATTAATATAATATGTCTTAATGTTAGTTGCTGTGAATTATAATGTAAAAGGAAGGAGTAGCCTGAACATATAACATAAAAATTATTGGTTTTGACCTCATAATTAATTAATGCAACGTCCATTTGGAGACTCCTGAAAGTGTACAATATTAAGCAGAGCTCTTCTGTTGTCTGTTATTTTACATCCCCCACAGAAGAGGAGTCAGAGGAGTCCTCCAGTGGCGAGGTGGAGATCGAACAAGAAGTGCACTCAGACCCAGAAGACCCGAGGGAGCTTCATCCTGGGGCACTCCTGCACCGATCCTCCCGCCTACACAACCTGCCGCTCATGGCAGAGGCCTTAGCACACGGAGCTGACGTACATGCACCTACTGAGGAGGAGGAGGGGAAAACACCACTCATTCAGGCTGTTATCGGGGTGAGTCACTGATTTCCACAGTAATTTGATGCAGGAATGGAACAACATGGAATAACTGATCCATAACTGAGCCAACTGATTTATTGTTGCCTGGATTATAAATTACACATAACACATAATCCGTTGAAAGTGGCCGAGCCAGGTTTTGTGCAGCCGACAAAGAGCTATCGTCATAAATCAATCAACCAGGCTTTAGTCATGTAAGACTTTTAATACAACAACAACAATTTGGCACAAGGTGATAAACAGAAAAAATGCACTGACAACCCCCAACTCAAAGTTCACGTATTTTAAAAAAAAACAAAAAAACATATTTTTATAAACAAAGAACTCAATACAAACAGGAACTGACAAACTGATTTTGAAATTCAAGATAACAAAATAAGACAATAACTTAATAAGAAAGTTAAACTTTAGAAGATAACCAGGAAATAAAATAGAAATAAGATAATGAAAAAAAAATAGTATGATATATACAAATAATTAAACAGATGTATATGTCAAATATACATATAGGTAGGTTTTAAGTTTGTTTTGAAATATTGACATATTGAAATATTGATTCTGTTCTTCCTCGATGATAATTTAAAACAAGTCAAAATGTCGTCCCAGAACATTACATGTGGTACTTTCACTCTCACTGGAGTTGGGAAAAGGGAAAAACACTTTTGATGATAAATCAACCAAGAGGTTATATTTTAGTTATGATAAAACACCAATAGTTACAAATTAAAGCAACTCCCCTGTCTGTCTGTCTGTCTGTCTGTCTGTCTGTCTGTCTGTCTGTCAGGGCTCTCTGATTGCCTGTGAGTTCCTGCTACAAAACGGAGCTGATGTGAACCAGAGAGACATGAGGGGCAGAGGCCCTCTGCACCACGCCACCTACCTGGGGCATACTGGGTAAGAAATGAAGAAATGATATATGAGGACGTTTCTGTGACTCATGCATTCATGTTCAAGTCACCATGTCATGAAAATATGCAGAAACTGTGGTGGTTCATGTCTAAATACCATCTTTTGTATTTAGTAAGATCCCACAGCTTTGATTGATAACGTTTCCATTTATCTGATTCTACTCACTGCCAAATTTTTCGGCGTCAATTACCCTGATCTTCCTTGGTGGTTAATGGAGCATGCAGTGGAGCAACAAAAAAAACACAAAACATAACCCCACCACAAAAATAATTGTTCTTTGAGATGCTCTGACTGAATGTCGTAGGCCTCATTCATCAACCGTTCTGACGAAGATATTTGTTCTTAAAAACCATAGGGTAATTAATCATTTGAAGATTTTAATTTGGACATTTCCAATGTCTTTCGACTTATTTTTTTCGGTCCAGTGTGACTTCTGTGTGTGTGTGTCAGTCACATGTCCTTATATGGGCATAAAAAGGAACGTTTTCTATGCTTATTGGGAAAAAACATGCTTAAGCTTTCAGTTTACAAGGACATAGCATTCATCAATTTCAGAACTCAGGTGCAAAGGATTGAGCTGTTTAAGACCAAGTAATGAAGTTTTTTCTTTAGAAGTAATTTGAGAAAAATCCTTAAAGATATTGGTGAATGAGGCTAAAAGTTCTGCACTGTCACAAGCGATGTTTAGAAAATATTAAGGACATCTGATCCTCTGCGTTTGTTCTCTTATACACAATGTTTTTCATATCGCTCCTCTACATGTTTGTCTTAAGGTGTCATCAAAATGTGTGTTTCTTAGTTTGTCAAACCAAAGACGGTGTTAGTGAAATGACTTGGTCATTCACCTTTTGACTCTGAGTTTGCATCTTGTTTTGTACAGTCAGGTGTGTCTCTTCCTGAAGAGAGGGGCATCACAGACGGAGGTGGATGAGCAAGGTCATGACCCCCTAAGCATCGCCGTCCAGGCCGCCAATGCAGACATCGTCACCCTGTGAGTCAACCGAGTTCTACTAATACCCAACTTACTAGTTCCTTTTAAGAAAGTCCCTGACTAGCTAAACACTCATACCTCTACTTGTTAAAATGACTCAATGACTCAGTGACTAACAAAAGTAGTTTGTTCTTTCCTTTAAAAAGTTTCAGTCTGCTCCAGGCAATACCAGACATATTCATCATTATCATGGCTTCCTTATAAGAGTTACATTTTTCCAGGAATATCTTATTGGGATGCATATGATGTGTTTTAAGTTTTCAAATTAACATCCAATATTTTTGTCTGCATGAAATCCTCATGTAACTCGAGAAATAGACTCCTCCATACACATCTCTTAAAAGTACTCTGATCAAATGAAAAAGAAATTCACAAATGTTTAATTAAAGTTCCTTCATCGTTGAACCTTTTTAGAGTGTCTCTGTAGCTTTTAATGAAGATCTCAGAAATGCTCTGGAAAGTGTTTTTGTTTCATTTAATGACTCTTTCCATGCTCAAGAATTAACTTTAATGTCTTAAGAAGGAACTGTTACATGTTGAATGTTTATTTATGTATGTAATGTCTGAAATCTTTTCCTAATTGTTGCATTTTCTTTTTCCTTCTTACCACCTCATCACCCCCCCCCTACATTCTTCATCTGTCCCTTTTCGTTTCACATTCTTATCTTTCTAATAATTTTTCCCTCGTAACATTTCTTTTCTCATCTCCCCCCGTCTATGTGCCCCCATCCTCCTACATCCCTTTTTTTTCCGTCTTCCCCATGTCTTCTTTCATCTCTCCTCTAGATTGCGTCTAGCGCGGATGAACGAAGAAATGCGAGAGGCGGAGGCTCCCTTGGGTCAACCAGGTCAATACCCCAGCAGCAGCCCCACTGAGCAGCAGTACAGAAAGTGCATCCAGGAATTCATCTGCCTCAACATAGACGAGTGCTAGCGGTCACTTCTGTACCCCAGAGCGTGTACTCCCTCTCACTATATAAAAATATTTAAATATTCCTCCTGACTGGGGATCTAAATAACTATGTAGACGAAGTTGACCTTAGACTCTGATCTCAAGTTTATTACTTCTGCAGATCATGGCTTACGGGCAAATTCATGTCTGCAGAGAGAGGAGCTTCCCACTTGCTCTTAAGGGGGTGCGTCGTGTCATAGGGAGACCCCTGATGGACCTTTTTAACTCTACTGACAATGCAGTCATTTTTCTGCATCACCACTATGTTTCTGCTTGCCATTACACAGCACCACCCATGCTATGCTACATGACACACACAGTCAAACAACATCTGCTTTCTGGTGTTAAGCTAACAGGGTCATACTCTAACATCATGATGTGGTGTGAGGGGAGTGGGTTTACTGTTCTTACCTCTGAAGAATCTGGTTCGCATTAACCCCCCTTTACACCTCGTAACTATCCACACCATCCAACCCACCCACCTCTGCGTAATCAGAGACATGAATATACATTATGTAGAAGTTATATGGGTCATCTTTAAAGTATATGCTGTGGCATGAGGTGAAAAATTGGAACTTGCTCCGTTAGTAAAAGAAAAATGTAACTGACAAGCTGCGGTAGAGGTAGTCAAGGTTGTTTAATGTGTACAAAGAGGAAAGGGAAAATTAAATGTAAAACTGTGACAAGAATACTGAAGGGCTTTTGGAGAAAAACCCTCGCTTGCTTTGTAAGATACCTAGTGATGAGTGAGTGAGTGAGTGAGTGAGTGTATGTGTCTGAGAATACTGAGAGAGTTAAAGCGTATGATATTATGATACATTATGTAAAGGAAAAAAAGAAACTGTGCACTTTTCCCATTTACAGTATTATTATTTTTTTTTATCTTTGTCCAGTTAGTCTTTGCATTGTCAGTGTCTAGTCATGTCTATTTACTTATTGTCTATTTTATTTATGTTAATCTTCCCAGAGGACCAGTGCAATGCATTCTTGAGTGCAGTTTACATCTGCGTAACTGTAAATGATTGTCTTTTTAATCTGAAAGCATTACTTGGGATTTATGACAGGAAGTCCTACGATGACATCATGTAATAGGACTCATAGAAGACGTTTTGCTTTCATTTTCCCTTTGGAACGGCCTTACAATGCTTTTAGTATGATAACTGGCGTCAGAGCATGCCAATGAACGACATTTTACTAGCTTACATGAGGAAATTCAAGTCAAAAAACTCATTTTTAAAATGAATTGTAATCACTATTTACTTGTAAGGATGGCATCTTGCCGAGTCGTGACAAACTAGAGCAGGAGTTGTAGTGAGGGAGTGTATAAACCCGGATTAAGATCTCACCATTAAACAGTTCTTCTACTCACAGCCTTTTTTAGAGCAAAGGTGACTCATGATGCCTCCATTTAGTTGTAAATACTCATCACTGTGAAACTTTTTTTGCGGTGAGATAAAAGAGGCACAGTTAAGAACAGTTTGAACACTTTGGGTTGCTTCCCTCGCTGGTCAATTACTTGCAGTGTTTCCTGCATGCTTTGCCAGAATCGTTTCCGGGTGCTTCAATATCGTTTGCATTCTGAGCATGATTAAAATATCTTTCTATGGTTTTGATCACGTCGTGCAGTGCAGTCCTGTGAGGTAAGCATGAACCACCATGACCACTCTTGTGTCAGATGTAACTCTTACTTTTTGCACCTCTGTGCCATTTTATCATCCACTTACCAAACATGTGGACATTCTGTTTTTTTTTTTCTTTCCACAGAAACATTTTAATTATTATTTTTTTAATGTTGTGGTTTATTTTTCTCTGCCAAAGACTTCTTAAAGGGAAAGTGTCTGAAATTGTTGTATAATATCACCGTCTTCTTTTCTACTGAAACTGTTCAGAGTAGATACAGCTTAGTCTTACCATACTTTGTGAAGTGACAGAGTGGTAGAAACACTGTTGGTGTACTCACATGTTAAAAAGAGGTTACAGAAATGTGACGGACCTGAGAGATTTTGGTATGGCGGGTGATAACCTGCCAATAGTTCAATGTGTACTGCAAGTAGAACCAGTCTAGGGGTTAACGTGAAGCTACTGTGACCAAACTGTTCAGGGCCCTCGCCCAGGCAAAGTATTAAATGTCGTGTCCATTGTGTGTATTGACAAAGAAGTGGTTAAAGATGCTGTTCAAGCAAACATGCTGTAAATAGTACACTTGTGTATTTTAACTCAACGCCAACTGCCTGCCTCTCAGATTTCAATCATGGATCCTGACTGTCTGATCTGTTTTATGTTTGTCTTTTATTCTCTTTACAACAACAAAAACAAACCTGTCAGGCAGAACTTAAAACACTGCTCTGCATTACTCGGAGGGGTTCTTCTGTTCACTGACATTTGGATATCACAAATAATTTCTTCCTTGTCTTTAGAAGCACTCAAGGAAAAAAAAGAGAGAAGACAAAATGCATACAATAAAACGGAGAAACTCTTGATAAACTAACCCTGCTTCCTACTTGTTGCTCTCATTTCTGTGTCCTGTCTCATCTCTTATGCACAACATTCTCTCAGCATCAGAACACTAAGTCAAAGCTTTAAAAAAATGTGTTGATCCAAAAGGATTCATTTACAAAGTAAAGCTGTACATTTTCAGATGTTGGGAGAATGCTTTTTTTTATCTGGTTGGCTATGTCTTGTCTTCTGGTCCATAACAAACCTTTGGGTAGCACTTGGCTTATTTGAGCAATACAATGGTTCCCTACACATTAACGAGTTGAAAGGAGGTGTTACACTCGACTTCTTTAGACTGCCAGCTCACCAGCACAGGTTCTTTCTTCCAAAAAGGGTCTCCTTTTGTAGTCTGCAGAAGTAACACTTTGCCTTGAATAATTCAGCGTCTCTAGGGTTTAATTTAATGTGATTTTACAATCAGTTTTTACACCATCACAAGCCAAAAAATGCTTTATTGCTCTCCATCAGTAGGCTTGGTTAAGTACACACTGACTGTCATATCATTGCTTGTGTCACCACAGGGGTTCCCGGGGACAGCAGGAGAGTAAAACCCAAGGATGTTCGGGATAGAGTGAGTTAAGCATCCTGGGCTGTCTTAGTGTAAATGTGTGGCTGTCTCTGCTCTGGTGGTTTTGGGCAATCTTTAAGGTGTCTGCATCTCTCATGGGAATCTTTTAAACCTTTAAAGGTATGCAGAAATCTCTGGTGGAGTGTTGTCTCCTGAGAAAAGAAAACAGAGTTAAGACCGGTTTTACATACAGGACTAACATTTGTTTGGATATGTAGATTACACTCCCAAAGAATTCAAACATGATATGTCTTGCAGAGGTCACAGAGTACAGTACACAACTTATTTTGAAATGTGATTTGAATATTTTAAGCACATGTATCCAAGTGAATATATACACCAGAGGCAAAAGAGATCCCAGGGTGATGTATAGGACAGGATGTTCACCACTCTTCCTGCACTTTCCTAATTTTCTGTTCTGCAAACTAAAGTCAGAAAGTAGTATTTAAAAAAATTGATAATAGTCGCAAAAAGTATTTACATATAAAATACAATATATTCCTTGAAGTAGAATGACTCTCTTATATGATCCTGAAGGAATATGAGTCTAATATGTACCACTAATAGGAGATTCAATTCATCTTGAGGCTACGCTTTGGGGGCTTTGCTCTTTCATGCAGAGATTCATCTGTGCTGTCTTTTTTCTTAAATATTTAAATGTGGGTTCCTGGACACTTTTTATTAGTTATTATTTCTTCTTTTTCATATTTTCTGGCATAAAGAAACCAGCTGATAGGTCCCTGCATTCGCCATGGTGCCCTCCAGTGGGAGAAGCCCCCCTTGACTTTATGATCCCCTGTTACAGGTGACGTCTCCTGTGCTGCTGTCTTTCGCGAATTTTCTGTCCTTGCGTCTTTCCAGCCCGAGAAGTTGAGAAGAAGAAGCTTACAGTTCAGCCGCTGCCAAAGACTGCAGGGACAGACAACCACTTCTTCTGACCAGTCTCCAGTCACTGTGGCAGCCAGATAACTATAAAAAAAAAAGACTCTTAATGATTGGGAGTGAGTGCAGCAGGTGCAAGCTGATCATCAAAACTCTGCAGGACCTTGTTAGAGCTATTTTATAAAAGGTTTGTAATTGTTTCCACTTGCTCTTAGAACATGTGTATGCCAAGAATATGCTTTGGTCATCAAAAAGTTATATGGTTTAAAATGTTCATTTATATCAGATGACTAGACACCAGTTTTGGTAATTACTAAGCATCTGAAATATTGTTCAGCATGTCAGATCTGGATACATATTTGTACATGTTTGCCTTAAAGGGGCACACCAACAATTGTGTATTGCACTTGCATAAAAGCTGAGGACTTTTGAATACTCCCCCCCCCCCATCACTTGAAACAGTGCAACTAGAGTATTTTAAGAGATCATCTTTCGTCTGTTTTTTCCACAACTACTAAGTCCTCCTTAGCCTCCAGGCACAAGTCAAAATAACCAGAATGACATCATATGTGTCATATTTCAATCATATTGGAAAGCTTCATCCTTAGCTGAAAAAAAAAGATTCAATTGTTTCCACTTGCTTATAACTGTACTCTCTGTGATGAGTAAACTCTACTTGATTTTTAAATCACTGAATGCTCCTTTAATATTTTGTAAAATGACATTTTGTAAAAAGCAAATGCTCTGATTAAATTAAGTTAAAACTGTTATGCAGCTATGGTAATAATATAATAAATAGTCTATGATAAGAAGACCTCAGAATGTTTTTTTCATGTTTAAATATATATTTTCTTTTAAATGTTGGCTGATAAATAAAGCAACGAGAAACCTTATGTAGCAGCAACACCAAAGGAACAAGCTTTTTGGTTTTTGACGACTCTGTAATGTGTTGATGATGACATCGATAATAAAAGTAAGTATAAATATATTTAGATTTTTAAAATCATTTTATTCTTGGGTGACAATATTCAAAGGCAATTATTTAACTTTCAGATAAAAAAAAAGTATCCTTATGCATTCTATACAAGATCAGCTGATGACAGCAGTGCGCTTTCAATGTTTTTAATCAACCGATATAACGTCGATGAAGAAGAAAACCGGAAGCGTCGTTCTTCCTCCTGCTGGCTGAAGCTACGTTGGTGTCATCGTCTTATCGGTCTGGGGTTTGACAACAGAAACAACATCCTTCATTTGTGTCCAACCACGAATACCAATTTCCACTGGGGTCTCTGGAGAGGTATTTTTATAATACATGCCGTATATTAGAGGGCTGGGGGTCCGCTCCCGTCAGTAACATTATTGTTCTGGTTAACGCAAACATATCTGCGACCTACGTTAGCTAATGCTAGCCGTCGGTGGCTAACACAGTACATCCAGGCTGGATGTTCGCTAGCTGCTAGTGCTAGTGCTAGTGCTAGCTTTTAGTTAGTCGTCGTGTCCGGTTAGCTAACCTGCGCGGACATTATTGATATGTTGTTATTGTTATTACACGTCGTAGGTTGGGGTTTTTGTTGAGTATCTGTCCGATATGGAGCTAACTTGTCGGACTGCTCAGCCAGCGAGAGATGGACGTAGCTCTGAAAGTAACAGCGGATTAGCTTCAGCTAACATGAGTTGAATTAGTGAAAGGTAGGCTGTCATTTAGAAGGAAACGATAATGACATGATTTGAACACTGTTACACTTCATTTACATTATACGTGTATGATTATTAACTGATTATCTGGTCTTAAATAGAATGACGTGTCGCCTTGACTATGCACAAGTACATTTTAAATTCATGTAGTTTGCTTCACATGTTCATACTTTAACTCCACAAGGATTTTAATTTAATTTAATTAATTTTATTAACAAGGCATGGCAAGTTAAAGTTTTAAAGAACTTGGATCAATGAAAAAATAGTTAGAAAATTAATTATGTAATAATGCAATACAAAATAAAATCTGTGATTTCCTCAAACACTTACAGTAATTGACAGTAGAGGGATGAATACAATTACTTACAATTAAATGGGAATATTTGTTATTTATCAATAATTTTGCAGATTTGTATTCTAAAGCTTAAAGCAAAACCAAGGATGAGCCTGTTGTTGATTAATTGTTTTAGTAAAAGTTTTCTACCAGAGGCTGAGTTAGAGCTGCTGCCAGCTGATTTAAATCTAGCAGAAACAATAGTTTAAATACAACGATGATCAGATGAGAGACAAAATTAGATTACCAACTGTTGAGGAAAAGAAACACATGGCTGGTGATGGTCATGTCATAGTGAGATTACCATAGTGTTTTTAGAACTTCTGACCCTTGGTCAGATCATTACATCAGCTCCCAACTATTTATTGGCATTTTAAAGGCTATAATCAATATAAACATTTTCTCTCCTAAAGGCAAGTGTATTCAGAACAAGACTTTTTTTGTCTATACAAATACAGTACCTAGGTTATAAAGTAACATTTTCATAAAATTTCCAGAAATTCTGAGTCTGTATAAAACTCAAATAGTACCACGAGTGCCAGAAAGTTGAACCTTTTCAGAGTTGAAATGTCTGCAGTCAACAAATGTTAAACTTTGACCTACTATTGCCAGGGAATGTTTCCTGAGAGAGGTACCAATGACTGGGTTTCAGTGACAAATTCAATAAAAACAAATCAATACTAATGTCACTGTGTTACTTTTTGTTTAAATCTTCAGATGAACAACAACGGGAATAAGAGAGCTCCAACCACAGCCACCCAGCGACTTAAACAAGATTACCTCAGGATAAAGAAAGACCCTGTGCCTTACATCTGTGCAGAACCTCTCCCCTCTAACATCCTAGAATGGTAAGAACTCCATCTTGGCAAAATCACTGCAACAAATCTTTAAATAGGTTAATGTTGTTTTGCAGTGCTCAAACTTGGACAGATTGAATCTTTAAACAGACGACATATCCATGTATTCCATGTGTGATACCTATACACTTTGTCATTAAGTTATTAGACATTTGGGATTATTCTGTTTAGTATTGTTAAGTTAAAATATTTGAAGCTCAATGGGTTAAATTATAATATAAAGAAAAGAAAGTAATAAGACATTTGAAACACTGTAATTCAACTCTTTCAGACATAAGAGGATTTTAAACTACATTTGTTAGATTCTTAACAGCTTTTGGGACAAACTTTTTTAACAATGACTTGAATAAGATGTTTTCCAATGTTGGTCAAAATAACAACAGAGGGGTCTCAAGAGGATAATTAGTGTTACAAAATAAATACATTTTTGGATTGTAATTATGTCTTAATATTTGTAAAATTACCCACTACACTACCTCTTTACCTCTACTTTACCTCTTTCCATTAAACAGTTACTTAAGGAAATTCAACTATAATATGTTTTTTTCCAGATAAAGTGTTGACGCAGCACACTTAGAGCTGTGAAGAGTGTTTCCTTGGTAGAGACTAGAGACAGTGTGCTATTTGGACTTTCCATAGTATCTGTGGAATTCTTTATTGA